CCGCCGCTTGCCCCGGCGCCCTTCCCCCCCCCCCCCCCGCCCCTCCCCTATCGGCCTGATTTATCTAGTCCCGACTGTGCCCGGGCCTGCTCCCCACTACGTCGAAACCCCGGCCCCGATAGGAGCTTCTCCGACTACTCCCGGCACCGCACCCGTGGAAGCACCCGTCTACTCGGCCCCTACAGCTAGCGGATGTTCGCCCACCCCTGGAACCGCTCCTACGGCTCCGGTAGCCGCACCTACTCACTCTGGGACTGCCCCTACGACTCCCGGGTCCGCTCCCATGCAAGCGCCTGTCTACTCGACCCCTACCGGTGGTGGAGGTTCGCCCATTCCAGGAACTGCCCCGACCACGCCGGGCTCCGCGCCGGTGCAAGCCCCCGTCTACACGACACCCTCACCTGTCCCTGGACCGGACAGCGCCCCGACTAGCGGTAAGTGCTGCTTCACTCTCTGAAGCGATGAACAACTATACATGCAAGCCATTTTTTCCTTGTGCCTACGCTCGGAGCTCCCTCGCTTCATCGTCTAGATTTGTGGACAGCTGATTGTTCAAATTTATTTATAGTCAAGGATATACAGGGCGGGAATGTTGAGTCTTCCAACGACTTTCTTCTCCAAAGGCAGGAAATGGAAATCAAACGTTGAGCTCTGTCTTTCATTTATCAACNCGCCCATTCCAGGAACTGCCCCGACCACGCCGGGCTCCGCGCCGGTGCAAGCCCCCGTCTACACGACACCCTCACCTGTCCCTGGACCGGACAGCGCCCCGACTAGCGGTAAGTGCTGCTTCACTCTCTGAAGCGATGAACAACTATACATGCAAGCCATTTTTTCCTTGTGCCTACGCTCGGAGCTCCCTCGCTTCATCGTCTAGATTTGTGGACAGCTGATTGTTCAAATTTATTTATAGTCAAGGATATACAGGGCGGGAATGTTGAGTCTTCCAACGACTTTCTTCTCCAAAGGCAGGAAATCAAACGTTGAGCTCTGTCTTTCATTTATCAACGTTCGTTTTTTTTGTTCCATGAATTTTTGCTTTGGCGCCTCGACAATTACACGGCCTGTAAAACAATGAACAACAACAATGACCTTCTTCCTCGGCACGAACCACCAAACACAGCAAACGTACGCGTGCGAGTGTGAAGGCAGGGAAGGCGCTCATCGGACAAACTGTATTTTTTCGTATTTATTGTTGATTTTTGTCCACTTTGTTAGATCTTGGTTAAGGGAATGGCCCAGAAGCTGACGGTTCGTTCGCTCTGCCATTGTCCTGGCGCAAGCCAAGCGAGCTCCGTGTGTGAGGTGAATCGAAAACAATTGATCTCTTGGTGCAACTGCAATAAAAGTGCGGCCCATCGCAAGAAACGAACGTCCCCCCCCCTGCCGCCTTCCGTTGCCGCTCGCCTCCCTCACCGACCGCCACAGACATGGAGAGGTGCAGCAACGGTGTTTATGGCATCGAGTCGTCGAACGGACTTGCGTGCTGCGCGTTGACCTGCGGGTCTTGCGGCGGTGTTGGCTGCAGCCGGCGCCCGGGAGGGTCCTACGACTGCTGCGAGAGCGAGTGAGTGTCCAAGGCCCCTTGAGCTCATTTGTGATGGACAACAGCTTGTTTCTCCCATCCATGTATGGTTGGAAGGACTAAGGTGGTTGGTTCATGCAAGGTTGCAAGGTCGGCCGCGAACAGCACCACCTAATCACGCCATTTTCGTTTCTCTTACCCTCCTGCACATCACCTCCTTGGCACTAACGGCATGATCAAAACAGAATCGTGGAAGAGGGAGAGGCTTGTGCTGCAACTGGAGCGTCTCCTTGCTACATGGACGGTAAGAAAAGGCGGCCGATCTCTTCATCATACCGATTTCATTCACTTTTGAGAACAAAGAGAAATGGAGTCATGGTGGTTGGGGAAGTCGAGCCAGGTGGATAAATCTCCTTTCGGCCATAAAAGAGGGGACTGCCGGTACTTATTGTCACTCAATCGTAAAGAGCACTGTGTGGATCGTTTCTTCTTTCAATGCCTAAATCTGGATGTGTACCCGAGATTCTGCAGTACGTTGGGTTAAGACGCTCCCACCCTCATCCAAATCCACGCTGAATCCACCCCTTATTTTGCCACCGCCCAACTCGTGCGCCTTGACTCAGGAGACGAGGTGCTGGACCCGGTTGTTCCCTCCATGTCCCCCGTGGTGCCCGAAGAGACGGACATGCCCGGCGGCTTCGGCGGCAGCTCATACTCGTACTCATACGACTTCGTTTCGTGGGACGGAGACAGCATGGACGACCAGTTCATGTGGTGCACCAACAGCGTACCCGGAGTGGAGTCTGCCGGAGGCGAGGTTTGCTGTCCGGCCGAATGCGGGCAATGCGGGGGTGTGGGCTGCGGCGAGTTCGGCGAAGATTGCTGCATCACCGAGGCAAGCCATTTCTATGTGCCAGTCACAAACAAACATTGGACGAGCAGTCCTGTCATGACTCCTCCGCCTTTTGCGATAATTTGCTGTGCACGGCCTATAAATTCTTGCTTGTGTTTCTGTGGTTTGGTTCGGACACTTCAGTGGTTTGCTCCGCAAGCACGTCCTCCTTTTGGGTTTGGTCGTGATAGCGATGCGAACACGAAACGGAGCTTGGAGGTACACGTTCTACCTTCCTTTTGTTGTCTCCGGCAAGCCCAGACCGTCGGCGGCATGCCGGCGCCTGTGGCCGCTCTAGCCTGCGTATAGATTGCCTTGTCGTTTTATATTCGCCATGTGTGACGGGACTGGCTTCCTGGTGTTGAGTGCTGCTCTCTAAAATCATGTCCAATGTCTGTTCTCTTTTTGGCTGAACCATACACTGTCCAGATCATGGATTACGGGTACCCGTGCTCAGAGACCGGAACGGCCCCTTGCTACCTCGACGGCTAAGTCTACAACTTAAGCAGATGCAACGCAGCAGCGGAGCAGCAGCATCAGCAGCCACGGCTATGGTTGAAGCTGAGCCTTTCAAGAGCCCAAGGGCCGACCGCATGCACGCATCGACCACCGGATCGTCCGTCACCTAGCGGCCGTGGGATTGTCATGTATCGTTGCTTTATTCGTTTCATTCATTACGGTGATGTTCATTTTAAATACTTCGAAGTAAATACGCCCCCTGAACCGGACGAGGAGCATCCCAAGATAATAGCAGTGTGGTTGTTTCGCTGTCCTGGATCTGTATTCTTAATCATGTTGTGAGATTGCCGTTGACTACCCTAACCGGGCACATTTTCGGTGGTCCTGCCCCGCCCTTGTTCGCATTAATAATATTCTACGGGGCGAAGGCCCATCTCGCAGCAGGTGTTGCACTGAATGTGGTAGCATGTTTGCCCCTCGCACGAGTCCTATGGGGAAAAGGCCGTGGGCATTCAATGTTACACGATCGCAGCGAAGCCGTGCACCGTCGTGTCGTGTCGTGTCTGTGGTGTCGTTGTACGTTTGTTGTACGTCTGTCTGTGTAAAAAACATGCGTGAAATGCTGTGCTGTAGTGAAGAAATGAAACATCGTGCAAGGCCACGCATTTTTGGGTAGACTTGGTCAGACGGGCATAATATTTGTCATGAGATTGATTACGTATCTACAATACCCTTCGACTGGTCTGATCGATTGTTCTTGAGGGCGGGCTGTCAAGTATTCAACGATGCGACGGCGCGTCTTCGCCCGAAATTTCGAGGAGCTTCATGGACTGAACGTCTTCGACTTCACTGATCGTTTGCTCTTGAGCGCGGGCCGTGGAGTATCCAATTTTGCAATGGCGCCGCGTCTTTGCCCGAAATATCGAGGAGATTTGTGGAACTTTGTCGTGAGGTCTGTTAAATGGTGTAGAAATATTGTCTACCAGGTAGGTAATAGAGCGATTTTCAATCAACTTGAGGACTCGCTGCATCTTGGAGCGCGATTTTGCGTAAATTTGTTGGTGGGGCGGGCATCATTTTTGCCATCTTTCAGAGGAATGAAGAGGTATCTAGCCCTCGCCTTCCTGCTTGATTGTTTTTGAGCGTGGCTGCGGAGTATCCAAGTATCTGGTGGTGCGTCTTTTTCGGAAATGTTCAACGTTTTATTGTGAAGCTGTCGTGCGTCGCTTAGTCTAATCGCCGGGTCTTTTGTGGTCGCTGTTGTGGTTGTTGTTGTTGTTGTTTTCTCCACAAACACCAGTGAGTCGACCCGAGGACTCGCAGCAACTTGGAGAGTGATTTTGCGTAGACTTGGTCAGGCGGGCATGGTGTTTGCGGTAACTCGCTTTCACATTGCCTGATCGATTGCTCTTGAGCGCGGCCGCGGAGTATCCAATGATGACGTGAAATAGCGGGAACCACACGAACACCATCAGTGTCTTGTCGAAGGTAGGGCATTGCTGTGCAACGTTGCCAGGCACATGAGCAGAACTTTGGCGAGTCATCCGGCAGCGTCGCGTGACACGTCTCTACCGGAAGTATCGAGGAGTGTTGTGGCACTTCAGTACTTGAAGGGAGGCAATATTGTCTACTGGTGCCAAGGTCTGTTGTAGGCGTGTCGGACTGCTTGCAATATTGAACGATGGTATTCTACTGCGTGGGTTTGATACGGTACTACTGTGAAGGCCTTTTGCCAAGCATGTACCCGTCAGTTGAAGACAGCTTGGGCGACTGAATGTAGATACATTCACTCTATGTGATATTCACTCTGTGTGATTGCTCACCAGCTGTTAAGTGCTGTGTAGCTGCAGCGGAGAAAATAGCTGTACAGCGACTGCAGTGACAGTGCAGTTGCCTCGACATGGTGTAGAAACATAGACTACGAAAGTCTCTTGTCCGTGTAGCGATTTTTGAATCGACTTAGGACTCGCGCCAGCTTGGAGTGGGACTGATGACCGCTCCATGAAGCCTCGCGAAAGCGTTTTGGACATGAGCTGGTCCCCGGAAAAATATTATTGTTCACTTGGAACCTTGAACGGCAGCAGTGTCGCGGCGAAGAGCTGCGCTCCTCAATTTTGGTGGGGCTTTTGCGTTGGTGCAGACTGAATGGACTCCCGTGGTTTTCTGATGGAGTTTTGGAGCACGTCCGGTACCTCGTTGGAAAACCGTATTGAAGCACCCGCGTGAAAGTTTCGCCCGCCGATGTACGCTGAATACCATCGTTGGGATATGATATGGCGCTTCGTCCACCCGCATCATTCCAGAGTCCAATAACGTGGTGTGAAAGCTCACCACGAGGGGGTTGGAAGATGTTTCTTTGAACAGACAGACTGTACATTTTCAGCCCTGCCGAAGAGGTTCGGTCGTACAGTCGTATATTTACGCGCGCCCTGTGGTACATGCGGTGTGCGGATCGTGGAGAGGGGAAAAAAAGGGGGTTTTGTCCCCCGCCACGTTGTCCAACAAGACATTGTGATTGATCGATGGCTACATGGAGAACAATGGCTTACAAAAAAAAGGTTGACTTGGCGAACTCTTGGCGAACCCACCACAAGTGACCCCTCGTACGCATGCCGAAGAGAACTTTTCTTTCGATACTACATATCTAATACACTGTAGCGGTGCTAGTGTACTACATACCCTACAATATCCGTTATACTTCAGCAAAGCGCGCATATGCCCCCGAAAGTAACTCACAGTTGACACAATCTCGTGCCAAGAGATCGACTGACGTCGTCCCAATCATCTCCATATGATCCGGAACAGCCATCTCTCCAGGCGCCGCCGCCGCCAATGCCGCCAACGCCGCCACCACCGCCGTCCTCCTCCTGCACGAGTTCGGTCCACGGAGAAGGACACGAAGGACTCGGATGCATGACATCCATCTTCCAACAGTTATTTGTTTCCGAAGCCATCGTGCAGCACTTTGTTTCCGAAGAACATTAGTAGTAGTTGAAAACCCGGCAGGCATGGCTGCCGACTTCACTCGACGACAGCCTGATGAATGAATATTCGTCGCATCCTGAGTAGACTATCTCGATCGGAGAATTGATCAACACTTACTGAGCTGCATGCATGCATACGCTACAAAGACGGACATACATATGTACATGTGAGGTGCCCTCCTGCCGCATGTTGCTTCGTTCTGGCTTTGGAAGGAATATATATATATGTCAACGTGTTGTTGGTGCACGCGTTTGAGTTAGTTGCCGGAAGAGAAAGGTATATATTTGAAAACAGTTTCACAAGCATAGACTATAAAGCACGCAAAGAGGAATAAGGGAAAACGATAGACTTAAGATAGAAAAGACTGAAGAGCGAAGAAAAATAATGTGTGGAGAGAGACAGAAGAGCAAAGAAAAAAAAGTGTNGTAGTAGTTGAAAACCCGGCAGGCATGGCTGCCGACTTCACTCGACGACAGCCTGATGAATGAATATTCGTCGCATCCTGAGTAGACTATCTCGATCGGAGAATTGATCAACACTTACTGAGCTGCATGCATGCATACGCTACAAAGACGGACATACATATGTACATGTGAGGTGCCCTCCTGCCGCATGTTGCTTCGTTCTGGCTTCGGAAGGAATATATACATANATATGTACATGTGAGGTGCCCTCCTGCCGCATGTTGCTTCGTTCTGGCTTTGGAAGGAATATATATATATGNAAACCCGGCAGGCATGGCTGCCGACTTCACTCGACGACAGCCTGATGAATGAATATTCGTCGCATCCTGAGTAGACTATCTCGATCGGAGAATTGATCAACACTTACTGAGCTGCATGCATGCATACGCTACAAAGACGGACATACATATGTACATGTGAGGTGCCCTCCTGCCGCATGTTGCTTCGTTCTGGCTTCGGAAGGAATATATACATGTCAACGTGTTGTTGGTGCACGCGTTTGAGTTAGTTGCCGGAAGAGAAAGGTATATATTTGAAAACAGTTTCACAAGCATAGACTATAAAGCACGCAAAGAGGAATAAGGGAAAACGATAGACTTAAGATAGAAAAGACTGAAGAGCGAAGAAAAATAATGTGTGGAGAGAGACAGAAGAGCAAAGAAAAGAAAGTGTAAGGAGAGAGAGAGAGCGAGAGAGAGAGAGAGAGGGAGGGAGAGAGGCCCCCATGTTGCGAAGACAGTCACTCACCACGTGAATGACAACAAGGAACTCACACCACACCGTCCGTGGGCCTAAGTCTCACGAGGCACGGAAGCCATCAACCCAGTTGCTGACACTATGGGGAGCCCATGTGGGCCGTCATATGGGACGCGCCGGCCGTCCCATGGGTACACGTGGGCCGTCCCATGGGACACGTGGGATGTCCCACCAACCTGATGAGTCCTCGAACCGTGGGCCAGCATATTGCTATGCTATGCAGATTTCGTCACGGCCATGCCCTGCAACCGAGGATCTCACGTCAATGTGTGCACGTTGCAGCTGGTATTGTGGGTGGGTTGGACGGTCGAAGGGTGTGATGTGATGATGTTATATAGTACATTGGCCGGGTTTGTGTCCAATGTAGAAGAACGATGAGGTGTGACTCCTCTAGCAGAGTGGGTTCTGCGAGATAGACGTCGGGTCCGAAGAATGCATGACCGACGTACGTCGGTACAGTATTAAGAAGATGCTATGAAGAGTCTTAATGGTAGCCCGCAGGTGCCCTCGATCAACAAAGTACACCTCTTTGACCTGAACTCTCTTCTCAACCCAATCTCGCAGTGCTATCCAATCGAACTATGCGGCGACACTCTCATGACAGCGCTATGGGGACGGCACGATCGCCCACCTTACCGTGCTAGCGCTATGTCACTCGCCTTCTGATCAGGAAGGCTGCAAAACTCAACATGCAAAGCAGACACAAACAACCGCCGATACTGCAGAACTC